CAGGTTGTGTCACCCACGTACAGGCAGGCAGCGAGGTTAGACCTCGGCATCACAGCCCAGACTCTTGCCTGCATCTGCCTACACATCTCCATCACGCTGGTATGGCGGCCACTGCCCCGAGCTGACAAAGCACCCTCCTTCCCCAAAAAAGGAAGGGTTTTCACCCCAAAAGGGGACAAAGCTCAGCTCTCTCCCCAACCCCCTTTTTCTCCTGTGCCTAAATATGCTGACAGAACTTGCCATGCTCCCGCGGGCAGTGTGGGGGGAAGCGGTCCTGCATCCGAATAGCATCTCCCAGGATCATTCTTATATAAATGGGGCTTTTCATGGCAAGAAAGTAATGAATGAGTTTTAAGCATGCCCATAAACGTGATGTTTCAAGACATCATCTGCAGAATACGTTTATTTTAGGTGCTCTCCACCCTTTTCCCCCTCCCTGACCCTGGTTTATTTTCACAATGCTGTAATTTTCTATTATAAAATGGGATTTTTCTGTTTAACTCTGTGTCGGCCGTTGAGCATTTGCATGTGTGTGTGCCTGAGCTGGTGACATTTGTCACCATCAGATGCTATTTTTAGGCCTGTTATTCTTCAGGAACCCACCCTTGGCTCGGGGAGGGGAGGGGGGAGAATGCAGGAGGAGGGAGGGGGAGGAAGGAAAACGTCAGCCTCAGCACACTTCCAGCCTGTGGCCATCAACCTCCCTGGGGGCATGGGAACCATAAGGTCATTTGTCAGGCTCGCTGAGCTCCCAAGCTGTCAAACCACCCCATGAGTTAAAAAAATGCAAATGTATGCAAATGAAGTGCCTGGGCTGTTTCTCTTCCTTTCCCTTCCACCCCCACCCACCCCCCTCCCAATTTAAATGACATGAATCACCTTCAATTTTGCCAGCATCCTGTAAAGTTATCGGCTCGACTAAGTGCTTCGGTTAACAGAAATGCATCTCGAGAGGGCCAGGAGGGGAAAAGAAAGGAAAAGGAGCCCATTCCCACTGAAGGGAGCTGTACATCATTTTAGTTTATAATCATATACCCCCTGATCTTCTAATTCTATTTTTTCTTGCTTTCTTGCTGCCGAATGAATAATCCACAAATTAGGGACTATAGTGTCCGGAAAAAAAACTGTAACAACCATTGTCAGGCTAGTCTAATATTCTGCTTTCCTCATCGTTTGCACTTAGGGTGATCTGGCAATAAAAGATCAAATTAAGTTCATAGGAAGACACGTTCCTTCACACAAGGAGATCCTTTAACACTGATGCTCCTTCCAGGCAAAAATAAACGAGTAGAAGACAAACACAGCAATAGAAATTTAATTGCTCATGCTTATTATTAAGGATACAAAGCCCTAAAAAGGAAGCTGTCACTTCCTCCCCAGATCAGGGGTTATTTATTATCTTGCACTCCACTTGAAGAACACGTCGGGTTTATTTTCATTTATTGGCGATTTTCAAGGGAGATTTGATACGGAGCTGGTCGGGCTGGTAGAGGAGTGTAGCTAGTTAACACGGTTAAGCACAGTACACTGTAATGAATCAATTTGTTTCAGACAACAGACATAATTAGCGTGGAGCTAATGGGCACACTGGGGGACGTGGGGCTGGAGAATCATCCCTCGGCCAAATAGTTGCTGGCTGGAGCTGAAGGGGGGGGCTTGGTGGGGTATCATTTCCAGTTCCCTTCCCCATCTCTGGGCATTGGGAGGTGGCTGGGGAGGGCTTCCCATGGTGAAGGCTGCCCTCCAGCCCTGCCATGAGGCTTCACTAGCTAAGGGACGGCTTGTCCCCCATCCCACATTGCTCCCATCAGGCTCATGGTCCGTACACTCTTCCCGGGGTGTGCTCCATCTAGGTTGTAGCGTCTTCTCAAGTCAGGCTCCCACACAGCGAGTGTTCAGCAATGCTAATTAAGTGTGGGGGAGATATCTGCAAGGTCTCAGCTAGAGATTGACCCTGTGGAGGGAGGAGAAGGGAGACAGCATTCCTTTTCCCACGGGAATGTTTGCTGTTGAGTCTGTTCATCTCTACGGCCCCCCCAGCCTCTCCCAAGGGCCGCTGGCTTGCTGACCAAGGTGAAGCAAGGATTTCTCTGAGAAACCTCTGTCACACAAGTGTGGGGGAGATATCTGCAAGGTCTCAGCTAGAGATTGACCCTGTGGAGGGAGGAGAAGGGAGACAGCATTCCTTTTCCCACGGGAATGTTTGCTGTTGAGTCTGTTCATCTCTACGGCCCCCCCAGCCTCTCCCAAGGGCCGCTGGCTTGCTGACCAAGGTGAAGCAAGGATTTCTCTGAGAAACCTCTGTCACACCAGGCTCTCTATCACCAAGGGCTGCAGGCTCTCTATCACCAAGGGCTGCATGTGGGGTTGACCCCCACATGAGGTCAACCAGGTCCCCACAGCTGGTGTGACGGGAGTTTGGAATCAGCGTGGCCAGAAACTGAGCAGGGAAGGACACCCAGGATATGGTGATGGACCCCAGGAGAGACGATTGCATGGGATGGGACTAGGAACCTGCCTGAGGGTCTCAGCTTTGCAAAAGGGGCTGGAGTGGGTACCCTGGTCTCTCTTGAAGATGAACCGCTTGGCTGTGAAATGAGTGTCTACCCACAGCGGGGTCACAAGCCGGGGCTCATAGAGGTGACACTGCGTGAACACATGCTCTGTGTCCTGGGGGTTTCCTAAGGGTTAGTGTATTCAAAGTTATTCTGGCTGTTTGATGTATTCTGTGTGTGATGGGATTAATGTATTCCTTGCCTGCTGGAGGAAGTTGATCTCCTTTCCCGGGATTTCTCATGTGGAAGGGCTGCTGGAGCCATGTGAAAGAGGAAACATTTTACAGATTAAAAAAATAGCATTGAAAAAAAAAAAACCCAGGTTTTCCTTTTGGGTGTGGGCTTTTTGCTTCCAAATTTCCCTTTGAAGCTGGAGCTGCCGTAGCAGGGGAAGGTGTCTGCCAGATGCACAGGGCATCTGATACCATGCGAACACATCCAAACAGGACTGGGAAAGGAGAAAGCTCAGCTCCTGGGTGAAGACACCAGACAGCCATCTGTCTCTAGCCAGGCCCTCCTCTCTGCTTGTCTCTCTGAGCGTTTAGGTACACTACGATGCACAACTCTTCACTTGCTTCCCCTGCTCCCACATCCCTCGGGAAGACATCCCTATGCGGATTGTCCACATGCTGAGATGACATGGGATAGCTTCCAGGCATGAAGTAGGTAGAGGACACAGAACTGGAGACCTGCTGCCCCATAAGGACGGCTCTCCTGCTGCTGCAAACAGCCATCCCCAGCAGTCCCTCCTATTTGGCACATCCAGGTGTACCTGTCCCAAAAACAATTGCATAGATGAGATGGGCACTCCCTAGCTCATCTTGTTTAAGCAGCGTAGGTGCTGGCACTTGGTCGTGTAAAGCAATAGAGCATCGCCCTTTCCCCACAAAGCTCCCGGCAGGACAAATAAAACATATGCCTGGAAAGATGTTGGCTCTGGGAGGATTTGGAAGAAATGTGATGGAAAGAGAATCATTGCACAAGGTTCCTGGGGTAGGGATGTGGAAGGGAAGAGGGAGCTTGCAGTGGTTGGGAAAAGGTAAATAGGTTGGGAATCAAGAATAGAAAGATTGAGACAAAGAAGGAGACAAAGTGATGTGGAAGGAAGCCAAGTTTAAATCACAGAGGACCCAGGAACTAAAGATGACATGGAGATGCACTGAGGCAGTGCAAGCACAAGGTGATTACAGAGGTCCAGGTGGGGTAATGGAGAGGAAGACACTGCAAGAAGGCAGGGTCATTTTGGTGTTACTGATTGGAACCCCCCTGCTAATTCCCTACTGTCTGTGTTTTGTCCTAGGGCATTAAATGAGAATATGGCCAATGGCATTGAAGACCTTATTGGGATCCCATTCCCAAACCACAGCAGTGAAGTCTTATGTGGTTTAAATGAGCAGCGGCATGATGGTCTCCTCTGCGATGTCATCCTCATTGTACAGGACCAGGAGTACCGGACCCATCGGTCTGTCCTTGCTGCCTGCAGCAAATACTTCAAAAAACTCTTCACTACCGGCACTTTAACAGACCAGCCCTATGTTTACGAGATTGACTTTGTCAAGCCTGAAGCACTTTCTGCCATCCTCGAGTTTGCCTACACCTCAACCCTCACCATCACCACCTCAAACGTCAAGCACATCCTCAGCGCTGCCAAGATGCTGGAGATCCAGTGCATTATCAATGTATGCCTTGAAATCATGGAGCCCGACAGAGAGGCGGAAGAGGAAGATGACAAAGAGGATGAAGATGATGACGAAGACGAAGATGAAGATGAGGAGGAAGAGGAGGAGGAGGAAGAAGTGGAAGATTATGTCAACCAGGAGAACCTAGCTGATGTCCAAGAAGTAAGCTGTCACCAAAGCCCTTCTAAGTCTGATCTTACCGAAGAAGCATATACAGAAGCACCTAAAGACTTTCCAAATCACTACCCAGCCAATAACTCCTCTGGACACTTGGGCATGATACGAGACTTCTCCATCGAGTCCTTGCTAAGGGAGAACTTGTACCCTAAGCCAAACATCCCAGAAAGGAGGCCAGCTCTCTCCCCTTTCGCTCCGAGCTTCTTCCCACATCTATGGAATGGCGATTTTAACTCCTTCTCCCAGCTCGAGGACCCACAAGTAGACAATGGCCCCTTGGATCTGGTGATCAAAAAGAGGAAGATTAAGGAAGAGGAGGAGAAGGAAGACCTGCCTCCACCTCCTTTCCATAATGACTTCTTCAAGGACATGTTTACCAACACCCCAGTAGATCCTTTAGGGCATATTAAGGCAGAGACTGACTATAGCACTTATCTCAATTTCCTAAGCGCTACCCAGTTTGGAGGAGTGTTTCCCCCGTGGCCCCTGGAGGAGGAGAGGAAGATAAAGCCCAAGGCATCCCAGCAGTGTCCCATCTGTAACAAAATCATCATGGGAGCCGGCAAGCTGCCGAGGCACATGAGGACCCACACGGGAGAGAAGCCGTATATGTGCAATATCTGTGAAGTCCGCTTTACCAGGTGTGTGTTCATAGAATCATGGAATGGTTTGGGTTGGAAGGGACCTTAAAGACCATCTAGTTCCAACCCCCCTGCCATGGGCAGGGACACCTTCCACTAAACCCGGGTGCTACCACACCCATTGGACACTCCCAGGGATGGGGCATCCACAGCTTCTCTGGGCAACCTGTCCCAGTGCCTCCCCACCCTCTCAGGGAGGAACTTCTTCCCGATATCCAATCTAAACCTCCCCACTTTCAATTTAAACCTGTTACCCCTTGTCCTGTCACTACAGGCCCTTGGGAAAAGTTGCCCCCAGCTTCCTTGTAGCCCCTTCAGGTACTGGAAGGCTGCAATAAGGTCTCCCTGGCGCCTTCTCTTCTCCAGGCTGAACACCCCCACTCTCCCAGCCTGTCCCCATAGCAGAGGTGCTCCAGCCCTTGGAGCATCTTCGTGGCCTCCTCTGGAGTTGCTCCAACCAGTCAATATCCTTCTGATGTTGGGGGTTCCACAGCTGGATGCAGCACTCCAGGTGGGATCTCACAAGAGCAGAGCAGAGGGGCAGAATCCCCTCCCTCGAGGTTGGTTACCTCTACCATGCGTGGCCACGTGCCGGGAGGTGGGGATGGTTGGAGGGGCCACATCATGACCCATGGCTGGTTCCTAAGCTACACATCTCTTTTTCCCCCACCGCCAGAACAAAAGTAGCAAAGAAACCAGGGCATGTTCTCTATCCCTTCGGAAAAAAAGGGAGGAAGGGAGGGTGGAGGAAGAACAAAACCTACTGATTTTGGTGGGTTGTGGATCACATCCACAACTCACTGGATCCATCTGCTCGCTGCACAAAAGCTTAAATAAGTAACAGGATATTTTCAACCTCGCTATATTTCACCACGGTGGGACAAGAGGGAACTGCAAAACAGATGGCCAAACAGCCAAGAGGGCTTCATCTCTAATATGCTGGGAGATGCGTTGAGTTGGGAGGGTCATTTAGCTGCGGGATGTAATTAGTTTGGGTTTGCACATTTTGGCATCAGTTTAGACCACAACCAAGTTGCACATGTTTAGACATGACATTGTCTGGGCTTTCTGAGGCTGGAGCAGTCCTAATTATTATACATTAGTAGCGAGGTGGGGGTTGGTCTCTTCTCCCAAGTGACAAGTGATGGGATAAAAGGAAACAGCCTCAAGTTGTGCCAGGGGAGGTTTAGGTTGGATATTAGGGAAAATGCCTGCCCGGAAAGGGCTGTCAGGCATTGGAAGGGGCTGCCCAGGGAGGTGGGGGAGTCACCATCCCAGGAGGGATTTAGGAGCCGTGTGGACAAGGTGCTCAGGGACATGGGTTAGTGTTTGGCTGGGCAGTGCTGGGGTAATGGTTGGACTCGGTGGTCTTAGAGGTCTTTTCCAACCTAAAAGATTCTATGATTTATCCCCCCAAACATTGTCTGTCCAAGACCTCAATTCCCTCCGTGGTCAGTGGCAAGAGATCAGCACCCTCAGAGAGGTAGATGAGGAAAGAGGATGAGCAAACGTGTCATCCCTGACCACAGAGACAACCTATGGCTCTTAGATTAGGGCACCTAACTTTTAGATGTCTTGGGTTAGGTGAGACCAGCCCCAACACAGGGTGCTCCAAAGCAGATGTGACTGACCTGATCCACCCCTGGTACCAGTATCCTTATACTGCCAGCTTTTGCACGTCTCCGCATCCCAGCCAAGCCCTCGATGGTAATAAATTGGAGCAGGCTATGCAAATCCAATGCTAGAGCTTGCAACCCTCCTCTGAAAATCTGCGCAAATTTGATCGGTGAGCAAAGACAAATAGATTCCTGGACCTGCTCTTGCTGAGTATAATTAATATCTAATGAGTACAATCTTTACCATGATAATAAAGCCTTCTGACAAGAGCATGGTATCTCAGCTCTGGCTGCATGTGAGAGAGAAAGCCCTATTAGGCAGGGGCGAGCAAACCAGAGGAAAATAATATGCACAGTAGGCAAAGGCGAGTTCCTGACAATGGCCGGACACCTGGAGTGCTCCCACATTCAACCTGTCTTTTCTTCTCCCGTCCCTGTGATAATATTCGAGTGGAAGTTATGCAGATGGTGAGGATTTGACCTGAAAATAAATTTCCGTGCTCTGCTCCATTAACGCAGCAGACATCGTATTATAATGCGGAAAGCATCGTGCCTCAGGCGGGCGGATGGGACGTGAGACGGCTCACCCTGGTATTTGCAGGGGAAAGGCCACTGCCTGGTGCTAATTCCTGCCTGCAGGAATTTGGATCTGGCTCCTGCTGGTGCTGCATCCCCAGGTTAGTGCTGGGTTGTCACCTCTGGACAGACAGGATCTGCTGAGAGGAGCGGGATGGGTTCTGCCCAGTAAAAGTGCCTGCATCCAGGGATGGACGAACCACCTGATCACCCCCGTCCTGAGGTCCCCATCGCTGTCCTGGGTGTGATGCTGTGGGTGCTAATTGCTGATGATATAACTTGACTTGAGCTGTCACTGACATCTTCCCCATAAGGGGAATACTAGAGCTGAGCCCTCACAGAGGGCTCCCCAAGTTCCTTACAAGCACTGGCAGCATCGTAGTCTTCATTTGGGGAAACTGAGGCACAGAGGGATGTTGGTACTGACTCACATTCACTGCAAAGGTTAGTAGGAGGCTTAGAGTGGGAATTGAGGCATCCTGACCCCTAATCCAGACTGGTTAAATCAGCATCTTGGAGGTTAAAATCTCCACACAGAAGTAGTCTAGCATGGCCCATTGCTAATGCAGGGTTAAGCCCAACAGCTTCTACATCCTCCCATGTGCTCAACAGGTTCTAAACACAAAACACAGGGACAGAAGGACTTAAGGCCAAGAAAATAATCAAAAAGAAGATTGGGACCAACCCAATGGTGCAGTCTCCCACCATCATTCAGGAAGACGAAGCCTTTCATTTGTGTCAGCCTGCATGGAGCTGAAGGCTGGAGGGTCTTTTCCTTTTTTAACACCGTGAGCAAAGGAGAAATGTCAAAATATTGGTTTATTTTTAAATGCATTTTGAAGTATTTTGAGTAGCATGCAACTGTGTGGGTTTTATTTACACTTTTTTAAAACCATTTTCAGCATTACTCTAACATGCGAGCCCTCCTTTAGGGGAACGTGTATTTAAACAAAGTGGAGCAATTGAGATGTAGAAAGAGATTTCTTCTGGGATTTCTGGAATGATGCCACTTGCATTACATGTTTTGCTCATGGGGGGGAATCTCATGCTTCCAGAAAGCATCGGACTCGCACCCATGGGAGCGAGTGGTGCCTTCGCCAGGGAGATGCAAGCCCAGGTGGTCCCCCCTTGGGGTCTCCTGGGAGTGAGGTGCAGGGAAGCAGAGGTTCCCAAGTGGGATTTCTGAATTAATCAGTCCTTTGCATTACTTCTGAGCCCAAAGAACTGTGGAGAAGCAAATTTTTTTTGAGAAATAAAGAAAATATATTTTCCTGGATGGGCACTCCCCCAACGTCCCCATCAGATCCCTTCCCCTCCGCATCACTGGGATCCTGCATCCCACGGAAAGGACCTCACATGCACCTGGATCTGACACTCCTGACTCCCAGGGACATCTGGTTGCAGGCAGCAGGACTTCATTTAATAGCTCATTAATTTTTTCCTTAAACAAAGGCTGCTCGGCTTCTAGTCTGCTGTTTTAGCTTGCTAAAACGCTGGAGAAAACTGCAAATATTTCAGCTTTTCCACCAAGACAACTGGGGAGTGCTCAAGGAGAAACTGTTCCAGCCAGAAAGGTTAACATTATTTGTTCCTATTATTTGTGTTGTGACAGCTCACGAAGCCCTAATCGCTCTCCTAACCCAATTGCATTAAGGTTATTCACACACAGGGAGAGAGCTCCCATCTCGCAAAACCTGTGTTTCCCACGCCACATCCTCTCCGGGGTGCTTCACCGCAACCGGAGCATCTCACCCCCCTCCCCCCGCACCCCAGCCTCGGAGCTTCTCCAGGTAGAGCCATAAAACCTCTCTTCCATCCCACAGAGATGCTGCTGGGGCAGGGAGGATTGAATTTCTCCCTGTCTGCTGCCAGAGATGGGTAATAGCCTGAAAAAAGCTTTGCCTGTATTTACATTATACAGTCCTGGCATGCTGCATGTTTATTGGGAAAAGCGATCCTGCTAGGTTAAACATTACATATATAGGTTTAAATTATATTATAGGTGGGGCTGGTAGCTCTGCTTTTTATTAACATTTCCCAACACTTCGCATTATGAGCCCCTGCGTTCATCTGCTTACGGCTTCACTGCACATTATCCGTTGGGGATGAAATGTTCCACGCTGCTTTGTCTTCGGCACATGCAGGGGAACTGCGCCCTTGTTAAAATGTTGGGGTAATGGCATCTTTGAAAATTTCAGACTGGGTAAGCTGGGATCTGTCCCTGAGCACGGCCAGCAGCGACGTGCTGATGGTCACATCACCGAAAAGTATTTCAAGATGCACACGGGCCGGGTGGCAGAAATTTGTGCAAAGGCAGAACCTTGCAAGTTTTGAGTGCTTGACCTGCCAACGTAAATAAATTTTTTGGATAATTTTTGCTTTTTTTTTTTTTTTTGAGGGGATGTGTATGCTTACATATTTTATAGTAATAATGACATGACTCCATGTATTCTCCATATTCCCAGCCTCTTTACTAACCTCTCGGAAGGATCATACTGAAAGCGTTTTGGAAAACAATACGAATTCTCCCACTTTGCTGTTTACTTGCTGCCCATGTTGAACTCCGCTCGTGCAATCTAAGCGGCATGTTTGGCCCAGTTCATCCACAATCGGCTTCGCTTTTTTATAATCGCGTGCCTTAGCTGTGATTTGCGTAGAGTACAAAAGGAAACATTTACTGGAAAAACAATAGTGATTAGACTGCCAGCTTGGGAAAATATTCTGGTCTATGGTCAGACTCGACGATCTTAAAGGTCTTTTCCAACCTAAGTGATTCTGTGCTCCTTTAAAAACAAAAAAAGCCAAACTACTATATTTGTAAATAAATGCTTTTGGGAGAGGTATTAAGCTGCCCCATGGCTGTATTTAAAAACCTTCTCCAGAATGTGTATGGGGCTGGATGTGCGTGTCCCAGCCTTGGAGAACTCGGCTGGGAAGAACATGGGCTGCCTGCTCCTCTGCCTGCCTCTCCCTATTTCGTTGCTCCCGCTCCCAACCAAAGCTCTTGAGACACCCAGTGGTCAGTGCAAGGATAAAAGGAAAGGAAAAATTAGCTCCAAGAGGGACTTCGCTTAAGCAGCCTTGGCCCACAAGCTCAACTTATTTCCTTACTTCCAGGCAGGAACATAGATGTATTTATTTAGATATTCCCATATGGTTTTTTTCTATATTCTAGGGTTTTTTTTCACTCCAATTCAGTCTGTTTTGAAGTTGTTGGGATGGGCTGCAAACTCCTGAACTGGAGAGCAGGGTCTGTGCCATGTTTATGTGCTGTCGCCCCGGGAGGCCTGCAAGAGCGTCCATGCACTGGGGTTGGAAGTCCATGCACTTCCACAGCTGGAAGCCCCACACCTTCCCATCACCTTTCCTTCTCCTGATCCAAGGGGCAATCCCAACCGCATCCC